TTTCATATAGGTATTTTATTTCTTTCCTTTTTTTTTCAAATTAATGATCATTATATATGTGAAAAAAAGTTTTTTTGATATATATCAAATTTGTTTATATGGCCACTAGTGTCCATGACTAAGATACTTTAGATCAATTTGAAACGGACATCGTAGTTCACAAGCCCGCTACCAGGCTCTGCCACATGTACATGCTGAAGCATTTACATTCTATTTTATTTCTTTTTATTTTAACGTAAAAAACTGCAGCATTGACTTGTAAATACGTATATAGATTTTATATATTTTTAATAATAAAATTTTATGGTTCTAAGGTATAACTGATCCAAGCTCAAAAATAATAGTAACTGAAAGGACTTTAGGTCGCCATTTTTATCATGGTGGATTAATTAATAGCATTTTTTTATTGACATACCAAGAGAAAGAGAAATTCTTCTCTCCTCCCTTCGGAGAGCCAGGACACCTATCGTAGTCAGAGTCGATGAGTATATTCTATGTATATTTTTGGTTCCTTATTCAATCGGGCTTTTTCTTTCTCCTATGTACCTTTAACTTTTTCTTCTACCCTCTATTCCATAAACGGTCTGGATGCTCATCCTTTAGCTTGTAGTCCTATGTACTAAGTCTGGAGGCTCATACCTTCGTTGGTAATTCTTCCCCCCCTCCCTCCTCAAAGTCTAGGGATTAGTCTCTCCTTTCGTGGTTACCGTCCTGCGATGTCTTAACGCTGTTTGTTCCCTTGCCTCGCTGACCGAAAGAGAGTTGTGAGCTCATCCTCCCGATACTTGACGTCTTCCATTCTTCGACTCTGAACACTCTCAATAGAGACTTTTTGTGTTCTTTATTTACCTACTTTTACAAATTAGTTAATTAAGAATGAAAACATGACGATTGTGCGTGATATCGGGCAAATCATTTCCTAGTACTACCCTTTGCTTAAAAGGTACAGAGTTAAATATAGAAGGGAATAAACATTTTTGGGTTTTTGTGGGACCATTTATTTGATTTATTTATCATAGGAACAATATTGCTTTTAAAGATAAAATTATTTTTCATAATTATAATTATATGCTAAAATTTAGTGTGCGAAGTGTAGGCGTTGTAATTTATAAAAAAACTTTAATAACTATAGTTTTATAACTTTAACCACACTAACAGATTAAAATATTTAAATAGTATCGTCGTATTTGAGCAAAAATGTATTTATTTAATTAGGTTGGTAAGAACCATTGTCAAATAAATAATGTTTCGCAATATTAACTTCCATTCCCTTGAAAAGTGATTGCTTTGAAAACATAAAGCATTAACTGCTTACGCTGATTTGTTAAAAACTTATGTGTTGCAAAAGGAATTCAGGATTTCTATGTTATTTTTTTAGTTGGTTGCAACAACAATCAACTTACTAATAACTCCAGAAACTTAAAGGAGCAAAACATATGTGAATGTTTTAAAATATTCGAAATGATAGCTATTTGAGAATAAATAGGTGGCAGAATTAAAATAGAATTTACTAAAAAAATTACTTTATTAATTTGAGATATCTTTAATACAGAATAATATACAAACTACGTGAAAATCTTGATGTACAAATACTATGTATAATAAATAAAAACATGATTAAATGAATTTAATAATGACTTTGTGAAGATATGGTTTGAGATGGACTGTTTTGAGAATCATGCCATGATATATTTTAAAATTAGTAAATCTATTATTGGGAATTAAAACTCTTCAGCCCCTAAGGCCGGAAAAAGACATAAGACCTCGAGATTGTGTACCAATATTCAGGGTGGGGCAAGGATGGATTTTGATTGGTTCTCAATTTCGGTGGATGTAAACATTATTTCAACACCCTAAAAGTAACAAGTTATTTAAACCGTTACTATTTACCAGTTATTCTAAGAAAAGGCCTTCTTCACTCCTGTATCCTTAAGTAACTGTATATGTGTTTGGTGTCAGCATATTTTAACTTTTCGGCACCTCATAATAATTTTAAAAGATTTTTTTCTATTTTCAATATACAGCAACTCCTTTCGTAATCCTCTTGCAGCAATCCTCTTTTACATCTTCCACCCAGATCTTTCTTGGCCGTCCACTCTTCTTTCTATACTCTGGTTTGTGTAGGAGGAAAAATTTGGCCATCTGTCTTCTCCCATCCTTATTACGTACTCATACCAAGGAAGCCTTCCTGTTTTCAATTTTTTTTTTCATTAAATTTGCCATTGCGTTGTAACGCATCAAGCATATGTGTTGGAGTTTATTCTATCTTCTTGTATTCTTGATATTTTCTTAACTTGTCAGCAGAAGATCTCTAGGCCACTGCCTTTTTAGTCGTCGTTGAGGCTCACCAGGTAACAGGGAGGAAGACAGAGATAGAACGAGTGGAATATATTTTAATAAATATATTATATAAATATAAAATAAAATATATATTAAAATATATTTTTCTAATAGCACTATTAGATATATGCTGTATCCTTGAGATACCGCAGCTTCTTTTAAAATCCTTATCTAGTGCTAATAATTTTTGAACATATTGATGTTTTACTGTCCAGGTTTCGGCACAGTATAGGACTGTACCTAATAGAAATGAATGGTGTATTTTTTTGTTTCTAAAGAAATAGGACTATTCGTATCCCATAGGGCCAAGTTCAGAATCTCAATAATCTTTGTTCCTCGAGATATCGTGGATGAAATATCTGTATCAAGGATTTCTTTTTTATTTATCCATATTCCTAAATACCGGGATTCTGAGTTCCAGGGAAGATTCCCAAAAAAATGCATTTATAATTCCCGGATCTCAGCACGAATATTATTAGAATCACAACTATCAAAAACTTCTTTTAAAAAATACTATATAATATAGTCCTGGAATAATTTGTTTACAGTTCATATAAAATCTATATGCATAATTCAACTTAAAATAAATCTCAGTTGTTAAAGAGGATTGTAAAAAAAATGCCAATAAATCAACCAAAAAAATAAGAAAATGGTGTTTTTTTTTAATTTGCTTATAGATTTGGGGTGGATCGTTTTTGACCAAATAAATTTATAATTTCAATATAAATATTTGTTGAATTAGTTTTAAAATTACTTGGCTTATTTAATTTTAAGAAAACCAGAAAATGTTTTTTACCTGGGTGAATATATAACAAAGAAATGTTTATAATAAGAAAGAAGATAAAAACAACGAGATTTGATTGGAACTTTATACAAATTATTATCATAAACAAGTATTTTTAATGAGTCGTATATTATATAATTTTTGGCTGTTAATTCAAAATATTTAGAATATAAATATAATATAAAATATAACCGAATAAATAATATATTTAAAAATGTTAATATTGCTAATAAAAGTCGAAACTTAATATAATGTATTAAATTGATAAAAGTTTTCTTGTTTAATAGATTTTTTATTGGTGAAGTACATTTGTGATAATATCGTAGTTTTCTAGACTTTATTCTATTATTTTATAAATAAAGATCCTCCTAAAAATGAACAACCAAAATAAGATTGTTTACCACAAATATATCTTAATTTATTTAACGTGTTACTGGAATTAATTAGTTGTGATTGAATTAATTTTACTGTTGTTTATTGTAACAAATATTGATAGGGATCTGAAGTTTAACAAGAATTAGGAAAATACAAGCTTAGACTTGTCTGTAAACTGTTCTTAATAAATGGAAGCTCATGAATTCAAATTCTCCTTGATTAAATTTAATTTTCAAAGAATTATTTAGACTGCTGGGTCAGTGAATCATGTGTGAAGTCGATGTGTCCACAGAGGGCCGCGGTATCGCCTGCATATGTTAGCATGTCGGGTTATGCAGCTCACTATATCACTACATACATCACATGTGCTACGTATAACATGTCTCTATGTGATATACAACAGCAGTATATAAATCAATCCTTGAAGTACACATGAAGGAAATGGGTATTTACGAGTTTTTAGTACCTAATTAAATAGACAAAGTTTGCCTCCTCCACATTGAAAAGCTCCAATTCCAAGAGTTTTCGTAAATAAAATAGTTGTAGGTTGCGATAAGATGAAGCTATTTACGAAGTTTCAGGCCGATGTTAATAATTAGATGAAAAAAAAAATGGGTCTGTTCCACGGACTAACTGTACAGTATTATTGTTCTTCTCTCATAACTTTCTTTTTCTTCCTAAATTTTTTTTTCTTAATTTTTCGGGGAGGGGGATGGGTGTGGTTAGTTGTTGCATCTGAAGGAGATGATAATCTTCGAAATTATGTCTCAACCACTAAATTTGATGAATAATAAACGAGAATATGGGGTACTAAGAAAACAACGCCTTTGAGATATATTGAATCTAATTAACAAATGTATTCCTTTATGAATGGCGTTCTATCCCCCTTCCACTCCCATTCATGAGTGCTATTATATTACTCTAAACTTCACCCTCCCCCCTCCAATATTTTCTAAGCGCCGGCGCCTACACCAGTGTTTATTTCGGCAAAATTTATGTGTGGCGCAACATGTAATATCAAATCACCAACATGTAAGCGAGATTTTAATGAAACGCCTATTTAGAATATTACTTTTTTTTCGAAAATTCTTAATTGATATATATTACAAATCTGTCTCATCTAAGGACTATAGTAATAGTAATATAAAATTAGCTCATTCACACTATATACAATAAATAAACAGCAAAATAATGATACTAAAAATAAATTTATATAAACTAAAAGAAACTAAACTAATCAAAATAGCTACTTAAATTCACACATGCTTTTATACAATATTTACAAAAGTCATCTACTCAAGATCTCCGAGCCAAGCCTTTCCCACCACTCGTGGAAGGAAATACAGGACTCTAGGAGATCCCCGCGCATCTTACTCCGCCGCAGAAGATTAATAAATACTTATTATTACTTTCAGTTCTTAGTACTTATATTGTTATTACTTAAATATTGTTATCACTTCCTTATCATACTATAATAGATAATATTGTTAACTTCTTGCAGATCTATAGTGGCCGCGGTGTCCCCAGCCGTGGTTGTGCCCTGCCTCTTCCGGCTGAGGAACAAAGGCTACGGGGTGGCCAAAGGGATTCCCACCCTTATCATCGCCATATCCGGCATCGATGACGCCGCTTCCGTCGCCGCCTTCGGGATCATCCACAGCATCATGTTCTCTTCCCGTGAGTAGATCCAAATCTAAATATTATACAATTTAGTTTATTATACTTTTTTTTATTTTATTTGTCTAAGGAAATTCCTGTACAAATAAATATAATGGTATATTTAACAATGTTAGATCTTGAGTTTAGTACTGCATTCAAACATAACATTAACAATGTCCACAGCATTAAGTATGACAAATATAATAACAGATTACTAAACGATATATACATAATAATTAGTAAAACATTTTTTTTTTTAAATATTCGAGAGGTATAAGACAAATGACAATATAAATAAGCATTAATATATGTTATATGATTAACTTTACCACTTAACAGTTCAATGAACAGCCCTGTATGAAATAATACAGTTTATTTTTTCGTAGTGTCTATTTTCAGTATCTCCTCCACACTAGCATCTTCTCTGGATTCAGTGATAAATGCCTTCAAGTACTTATTTCTCGGCTCGTTGAACTTGATACATTGGATCAGAAAATGAGTTACCGGGTCAGCTATAATTATACTTAAATTATCAATTGAAAGATATTAATTAATTTTTTGAAAAATTTATCTAGAAAACACTTACTGACCAAATGATGATATATTATAGACAAATAGCATCTTGGTGCGTGGCTAACAAAATTCTACTAGTTGACTTTCAGCCCTGGTATTCATTAAGATATAATTAGATAGATTAAGGAAACATGGACATTCGTAAACATATCGTCGGCACAATGTTAGTAACGAATGTGAAAAATCACTTTTTTCAATTTCTTTCGTTTTCCATAGTACTGCAGTACTATCATATTACTTTTTTTTTTATTTATTTAGACATATAACATTCTGTCACAGGGACAATAATTATATTGATAAATGAACACATTCACACCGTATATACAAAAAAGAAACAAAATTAACAAAAGTAGAATAATAAATAAATAATAATAAATAAAAACTATATACAATAAAAAAATAAGCTAAATATAAGTAAATTAAAAACATAAAAATACAGTCATACCTACATACAATATATACAATCAGGCGGGGAACCCAAATCCCTGCGCTACTCTCTCAACCGCCTCACCGGTGCTAAAGCCGGTGGAGTTTGAGCGAGAGCGCTATCATATTACTAGTCATTACTTTCTATTCAACAAAAAACCGTGTCACTTAAAAAAAAAAACAACACAAATCTCGAATTTTATAATGAAAATCGGCCCATTATTTATACAAACATTTTTGTAGCTCTCGTTGACTGCTATAAATCCTATAAATATCTCCTCCCACCTACGAGACACCCTGTAGATAAGTTAAAAGATTAGACCAAATTAATGAAAAATAATTAATGTTTAAACAGATAAACCTAAAATAAAAAGGAACTCAGCTTTAAGGCCCACTAGACACAGCCTAAGGGCACGTTCAAAAATTAATTAAACAGAGTGTTAAGTTAACCATCTTTTGTATAATTTATTTAATTGCATAATAGAATTGGAAAATAAATTTTATTTTGGGACGAGGCCCCCTTAGAATAACAATAATGTTACAAAAGAAAAAATACATATCTGGCCAAAAACTAATTTAATAAAGATTCAAACAATAAATACAACAACTTAAATAATAATATGTAAATAACTAAAAAATGAAATAAAATCTACCCAACAATACTTATAATTCTACTGGAAAAAATAACAAAAAAAAAAAAAAAAAGAAAATATAAGAATTACTATAACATTTTAAAATATCAAAAGTACGTGAATAAAAAGTATTGACTTTTTATGTTAAAACATAAACCGCTAAAACATACAAAATATATACCTAGTAAAGATATATTACTGACAAAAGATGATCAACGCGATAACAATATTGCATTATACCGGCACAAGATATATAAAATAAGAATAAATAAATAAATATAATAATTATATTATTATTATTATACATTTATAATAATTATTATATTACTTGAGTAAAACTGTCTCAAAATATTTAACAGGGGTGGTAGGGACAGACCTTTGAGCGTCCAAAGTTTTAAATCCGACCATTCAATTATAATCACTTTATTTATTTAATATTTTAAGGTTAGAATGTAGGAATGTGACATCACATTCATGCATAATATATGGGAACTCCTCTTCTTTAGCTTATCGCACTGCATGATTTTTAGATAAATTTATTTTCAGTTTTTCAGATTATTATTTCACTCATTACACCACAGTGTAAACTCATCACCATTCGTGTGATAAGTTTAGCAGTAGATAGAAAATAAATTATATAACAATGAAAACGAAAAAAAAAAATTACATCTAAAAACATTTGCACCCTTAAAAAAAGCAACCTCCAAACAGTAAAAAAAATAGATCTTGAATAAAAATCTTTTTCACTAATATCACTTGTGATATTTCTTTAATATGTAATGATAGCAAGGTCATCTTTATATGCAAATAAGATAGCGTTTCAATTTATAAATATTTTTGAAATACATATCAATATATTTATTTAAATAAATAAATACTGGCTGATGTGGTTTAATTTAAACCATCTAAATTATTGTTAAAAAAATTATTTATAATTTTATTTATTATAAATATGACTTCATAAACTATAACTACTAAACGAAATATTTAGGCGTATTTTAACAAGAATATTTATAAGAAAAGAAAAGAATGAAAGATGACGAACTATTTAAAATATTATAAGGCGTTAAAATAAGTGAATATTAGGAGATAAAAACTAATTAGATTTTATTTATTATAAATATGACTTCATAAACTATAACTACTAAACAAAATATTTAGGCGTATTTTAACAAGAATATTTAAAAGAAAAGAAAAGAATGAAAGATGATGAACTATTTAAAATATTATAAGGCGTTAAAATAAGTGAATGTTAGGAGATGAAAATTAATTAGAGCTTCAATAAGCAATAACACTGTTGCCAGATCTAATGCATGTCTTCACCATCTACTTATTAATGTTCCCTTTCTAATCCCTAATATCTGAAACACTTATAGATTTACATTTATCAAAATTTAAATTATATATATATATATATATATATATATATATATATATATATATATATATATATATATATATATATATATATATAAGCACATGTAGATAATTTAATAATAATTATTATATTTAATTTAGTAAAGGAGATTTTATTATTTAAATAGTAACGGAAAATTTTCCGTTATTATTTAAATAATAATTAATGTGAATAATAATAATACATTTCGGGGTGGTTTCGAAAATGATTTCGGGTTCAATTTGTTTTCCTTTTTTTTTTTTTTTAATATTTCTTATAATGATTAAATAGTAATAATATGAGCGAGTCTGATAATTCTCTTGTGCGGTATGCGGTTGGATGTCATGATAAGATCGTTTGTTTTAATTAGCAAAAATTGACAGATTTTTTTTTCTTTACGTGCAGTTTAAAGATACAGTTCTGTGTGATTATAGTTTTAAAACTTTAACTTCATGTTTGATAATAATATTTTTCAACTATTATTGATATAATATAAAATTATTGATTAATATATTATTATTTAATTAAATAAATATATCAAGCGAATAAATTTGTTTTCGATAAACTCCAGAGAATGTTCATGGATAAGAGAATTAGAAATAATTTCTTTTTTAACAACCAAAGTTTGGGAGATTATGAATTTTGTGCCACAAAAATAATTTTGGGACCATCTTCTGGCAAATTGTCGAATCTGAACTGCGAAAAGAAGAGCGGAATCAGTAAAGTCATTTTTAGAATTTTTTCACTTTGCTAGAAATATAAGGGAGTGGGGTGGTAGGGCACTGAGCTTCCAATGCTAAAGGTTCCAGGTTCGAATCCCGGCTAATGGCAGAAAATTTATTTATCTGTTTTATTGGCCGTGGGGCAAACCCTGTGTCGGGAGATTCTCCTGGGGCACACCCAGCCTCTATAAAGTGGGTACCATTAATTACATAATTGATTAAGGAGGAAAACCTGGCGGTTGAGCGTGATCTCGGTCAAATCACCTCCTTGCACAACCATTGACATAGAAACAGTGCTTTCCCTAAATAGTACTGAACCCAAGTCCCTTCATGGGTTGTAGTGGTACAGGTTTTTTATTTTAGAAATATATACGTTGTAGTAACGAAATATCACAATCGTAAGTTTACATTTTGTAAGATCCAACAATATTTTAAAGCATGGTATTAATCTATCTTATATCCCAAATTCATTAGTTTTTAATTACATTTCGGAACGCCATGACCAATATGACATTACCGCTATAATAGAAAGTGTTGCCCAAATGCGAGACCGTGACGAGTCTTGAACAAGAGTCTCGCAGCAGTCTTGCAGTTGAATTGAATTGAATTAGAAATGCTTTATTAAATATGTATAAATTATAAATTTCCAAAATGCAAAGAACATTTAAACGGCAGGATTACTCGTCTGCCGGAATTGTTATATGTTTTACATGTACAGTACAAATAAAGACCTTATAACAACTGCATATACATGAATGACTAATAACTAATAAAACAACTAACACAACATAAAATAATAAATATTTTGAATAATTTATGTCTTATAAATAATAATAAAGGAAAATAATGGAAATCATATATAATAATATGAATAAAACTGACCACAAATAAATTAGACGGATCATTGTCAATGTTGGATGTAGCTAATTAGAAAGGTGTTTCCATGTCGAGCAAAACCGACCATTTTACGGCATTCATTCACAGAGGCATTTAGAAGGAAAATTAGGATATCATTTCGGATCGGGCTAGTTTCTAAGAAATTCGATACGAATTTGACCAAGCAACAGTATTTCAGTTACTTATTAGCTTATTACTATAGAGATATTACTGTATTTTTTTAAATAGGATAAGCCTAACAGATGAAAAAATTATAGGAGTTAAATGCAAAAGTATATTGGTTATACCAATTATTAACATATAGTAACTAAGATTGTCATGTATTAGTAACTATTTAGCCTTAATTTTTATTATTTTTTTAAATCGATTATTTTGTCTCGGTCTTGCAATGTTCAGGCGGCCTTGGTCTTGGTCTTCTAAAGTGGAAGACCAAGACCGATTTGGGCAACAATTGACTAAATAGAAGCAATTGAGCCATTGTTTATATGAACTTTTTTGTAGATCTTGATGGCATCCTTCTGAATATTTCCTTCTACTTACGAGACATCCTGTATATATTTGTGGTGTCAGGATCGAACCTTCGGGTTCGCTAGGCATTTTATTATTATTTAAATTATTATCTCGTTTTTAAGATCCCCTCTCCTTAATCCGAGGAGAAGCCAGCTAGCATGATATAGGCAAGACATTCCCCTCGATCCATGTTGCGACCACACCTGCTACGACCCTTCGTTGAAGACCTCCGCGGTCGGCCTGGACGGGACGGCCGAGATATAATATAATACCTCGGCGATGGCGGAGGCAGTATTTAATTCAGATCGACCCGCCTTCCTCTGGCACTTTATTCTCCGGTATCTGAACACTGTTTGTTAGCCTTCCATTGTTCCTCTTCCTCCACTGCGAGGCCCCACAAAGGACTCACCCAGCTGCGCGGAAGAAAACAGAATATTTAAAATGAGCTGTGGACATAATCGCAAGGAATAAAGGAAACTGGCAATTTATGTGTCCTTTAGGGCTCCTTTCATACGCTCATTTTTTAAAGGGATGCCTCTTTTGTTTCACTTATTATTTTTCTCCCGCTATGGAAATCATCGGGCCTTTTATCATTCACTTTTTTTAATAAAAAGAGAAAAATGATACAAAACTCAAGGTTACCTTTATGACGAAATTATTTTCATATCATTTTTTTTTCGACCTGAAAATGGATAAAATATATTTTCAAGAGATACAGATACTAAAAAATATTTCAATGAATTCATCACTATCTCAAGTTTGGGGAAGCAGTTAACAATGATGTGATGAGAACATTTGATATAATTATTAGGTTGTTTTCGGATGATTTGGAAAATATTAGGTCTCTTATCCCACAGTTGATAACTAACTTATCAATATTTCGTAACCATAAAGAAATATATAAAAACTAATTTTATTAGTATTCCCAAGGTTTGGAAATATGATAGTCCGTGGTACAGATCCCTTTTTTATCAAATTATTAACTTCGTGAACAGCTTTATCTCATCGTAACCAACAAATATTTTTTCTTCATTAATCATCAATTCGATACTTAGTTTCGAGGTATATAAGTAAAAATATTTGTTTCAGTGATTTATTCTTCCAAAATCACTCAACTACATCATAATGTTTCGGGATCCACTTTTATGTCCCATCTTTATACTAGAAATAACAACATTATCGCTATCAACAATTATATACAAACAGTACAGCATTTATTAGTATAATTTTAAACAAACGATAATTTAATTTTTTTTTGCCAATCTTGCCAGTATCCCACATCATCTTATTCTCCATAAGACTTGTCATTATATATTTTTTTTTTATTGTCATTTTCCTAAAATGCAATAATTTTAAATTTATCATTTATTTAATTATTACTATTATTATATGTATTTAACCATTTTCAATATTGAATATTATTACCTTTAAATCATATTTTAGTCTCCTCTAGGGACTATTGTATGTTTTATTCACCAAAATTCTCGAGGCGTTTTCAATCTTGTGATTTGCAAATTTTGTCTATTTAATTAGGTACTAAAAACCCAATACTTTTTACTTGAATCAGAAGATAATATAATCAAAAGTTCGGGAGGGGGAGGGGGAAAGGTGGCCTACAAAAATATTGGTTCGTTTGACGTGACTTATAACCCCAAAATGTCAAAATATCGAGATTACATAGGCCAAATATTTTTGTATGCCACCGTTTTTTCCCGATTTTTTTCCGATCTCCAGATCGAAAACGCTCTATCTAATTCTGAGAATTTTAGTAGATAAAATATTTGTATGTTACAACAAGACGAAGCTATTTACGAAATTTTAGGTGGATATTAATAATTTGATAAAAGTAGGTATGTTTTTATGACAATAATCCTAGACTATTAAAAACCCAACAGACTAAGTTGAGAGACCAAACCAATATTTTCAACACATAAACCACATCCTCATTATAATAAAAGGAAGAAAAAATCTAAAATCCATGAAGGGTCTTCTGTTCAGTAATTTGTAATGAAGTACGATATAATCGCCAAGTTTTCCCTTTAATTAAATATTTAATTAAGAGTGCCCACATTATAGAGGCTGCTTAAGTCCAGGAGTGTGTCCTATCTACGATTCACGGTTGATGATTATTGTAGAATTACCTGTCATCAGCCGGATTCGAATTCAGAACCTTTACCTTGAAAGTCAGTGCCGTACCACTGAGCTACCCCATTCATTACAATAATTGTTAACTAAACGACTTGAATTGATTAAAGATTTTTTATTGAATATTAATGGTAGTTGAATTAATTACTGAAATCGTTCTGATTTGATGAATATTATTTTATTTCTCATAGCGAAATAATAATTTTAAGTTGTTTCATGAATCAATAAATAAAACTAATACCAAAAATATATTTATTTAGAAATGTATTATAAAAAATGATGTCTAATATTTTGCAATACGTTAATCAAATTGCTACCAATGGATAGTTTCTCTACAAGTCTTATCATTTATGTCTGTCTCAGATTTATTAGGTATATTTTTATTTTAATACAGTCTTAAATTGAATGAATTATAAAAAAACAAGAAATTATACACTTATGTAACATCTTATTGCCTTATGTTTACTGTTTACCACGTTTCACAACTTTTATATACTTCATAATAACATTACTTTTAATTTTTAGATTGAAATTAATGAAATTGGTACCACACCACTTTTCCCCAAATTTCCTATAGCATTGGATAAAATTGAATGAGCAGTTTTTGTAATGTAGGAACTTTTGCACATTCATAAGCAAAAGTAAAGGATGGAATTTGATAAAATTGATATTGGGTCTTTTTTGTCCTGATCTTTAACATTCCTATAGCTCTGAGCCTAACCAAACTACCATTATCTGATATATTGACGTATCATATGTTTTCGTAAACACGTGTGCAAGTAGGGGATAAAATTGATAAGTTATAATCTATGTACCAATTCGCACAATCACTGAAAATTTTATCAACATTAGCATTTGTTATTCTCGTCTCGACTACAGACGCACAGGGACAGGCAAATTATTATATATATACTGAATTATATAACTGGCTGAGCCTATGTTCTAATATATTTGTAATAATAATATATATAAATGTAATAAATATTTGTTTCAGATTCCCTTTACTTCGAGATTCTATTGGGTCTCCTCTCAATTGTTGTTGGTATTTTGTTCGGAGTACTGTGGGGTATCCTGGCTTCTTATGTACCAGAAAAAGATGATGTAAGTTTGAAATTATTTTTTAAGAATATTAAAATATTCTTTATTGATACAATGTTTGTTCATAAAATATAATTGAAGAAGAAAAATACTTATACATTATTCCAAATTAAAGTAATTATATTGTTGTAATAGTTGGTTGGGTGGGAAGGAGTGGAAACAGCAAAACACAAAAAAAAATACATACAAATAAGTAGCTTTATTTTCATACAGGCGACGTTTCGGCTTATGTTTCAAAACTTCCTCAAGACTAAATAAAACAAGAAAGTCGTATAAAATAAATGAATACTTTTGTGTAATATATATATTTATATATCCATATATTTTATATACTTGTAATCTTGTTTTTATTAGCCTACAATTTAGGCCGAAATGCCTACTCAAATTAAAAAAAATCTATTTATCTTAAATTGTATGTTATCACATTGAAAACATTATTTTTACTTAAAATCAGAGCTAAAATAATGAAATTAAAATATGATTAATTTATTAGTACAAAAGAGGACGTTGTTAAGTTACTTTTCATAGTGGGTAAGATAATATTAATAATAATAAATAATATGTGATTGGAAAATATATTTTTTTCTAAAAATACTAGGGGAGTACCTCCTGTCCGCCTAACGGCAGGCAGACCCCCATTATACAAATTAAAAAGGTGTTTGAAAGATAGAAATTGTTAAATAAGAGAATAGTTGAAACCTTACATCCTGAAGAATAAAAAAATGTTATCCAGGATCAGGGCGCAGTATCAGTAAGCCCGCACGATAGTTGTGCTCTGCGTTTTCGCGGCTGTTGTGTCCAACTCGGCGTCGCGTTAAGATACAATTTTAAATAATATCTCATTACAGAGAGGATGAAGTCCTGAACAATTCCCTTGCTTACAGTATGTTGGTTCGATTTTTCGTTGTTTTTTTTTAGTTTTTTCTCACGAATGTTGTTAATCAATTGTTTATTTCAAGTTTTTTATTTAGTTCGGTTTTTAGTTTCGATTTTTAAATGGAGTTTAATCCATGTGCACGAAAAAATTCAATTAGTCGACTTTATCCGAGCGTAACATTTCGATAATCTGACGCCTTATTCTGATTCTTTCTCCTCAACAGAAAGTGCAAAACGCCACTACAAAAGTTTTCACTTAAAAAATACGTAGCCTGATAATAGAAAAATTACCCGAACGGGAGGGACATTTTTTAAGATTTAGATTTTAAAATTTTGGTCAGCAATTTTTATATTTTAAGTTTTTTCTTTGTACACTATAAATAAGCGTTATCCAGCTCACCCCCGATGTCTTGTTGCCAAATATGAGATACACGCCGGAATATTTTATTGCTCAATTTATTCAATAATTAGTTACATCATACTTTAAAAATATACGAATAATGGACGAATGGATAAATTTTTCTTGTTTTGCAATTAAAAAAGCAATCTCACAAAAATTAATATAAAGGCAAAGGCAATAAGCCGCTTCAATTGTACACCTTTTTTATTTTCATATTAATTTTATCACAATTATATCCAATCGTGTCCAGCCTAATTAGGTTTGATAAGTATACGTTGAATAACTCCAACCTGGCGATGCCCCTTCAGAAGTCTGTAAGCTCCAAGCTGCTTCTTCTCAAGCTGCCACTCCACCTGCTTCGTGTCACGGAACAACAGATGTAGAACGGAGAAACATTGAAAGAATGGAAAATCTGGCAAAGGAAAAAAATGAACTAGGGGCACTGTTTTTTGTTCTTTAGCGCTAAATATTTATATAGAGAGATTTGCTGGTTTAAGTTTAGCAAATTCTTACTTCGACAGTCTGACAGATCTAGTCTCCATGTCTTAATATTTTGGAATATTTAATATGACTGCTTAGGTTTTATAAAAATCATCATATTAATGAAAAATTTCATGTGTAATAAGAAGTTTAAAAATCATCTTTTAAATAGCTTTATTGGCCATCAGATATTATTGTTTATCTATATTGTTAATAATATCTGTAAATTTATGTTATCTTTTTTTGAACTAGTCACTAGAGAATGTCAATATGCAAAATAATTGCTATAATTATTAATAAACAAATTTTGATACTGAAAAAACAATTATACATTGAATAAAGTTTGTTATGTTCATTCCTATCACAATATTTATTCATATTAGAACATATAATTTTGCTGCAGAATAGGTTTAATTAGAAACTATCTGTATTTAACTGTTTTATGTAAGTTATATCCAAATTTGACCAGTTTAATATATTTTTACTTCCCCTTAGTAAATAGTCCGTTACCCTGACAAGCTTTTCTGATCTTCTTCATAACAGGATATCGGAATGAGTAAATTGGTACAATTAAATATGTACAAACATGGTACAAATAAATATGCTATCGCTCCTCCAGGATTAGAAATTGAGTTGAAGCTAGTGATGGGATATCCAAGGCCCGATATTATTGTCATCGATATTAATAATATTATAACTATCGATACCATCAAAATGTCGGACTTGAAATATCAATAGTCGATATTTTCATCTATATTATAAACATTTATTAAATATGAATACCAATATAAATATTATAGCATTGGCGCATAAAAAAATATGTTATTTTCCTGTTTAAATTAATCAATGAAAATATCAATCATTCTACCCTCCTTTGTAAAATTAATTTTCTAATTCCTGCCCATCTTCGTTCCTTTTTTTCTTAGTTTCCATTCAGCCAATTATTTCTTGTATTCCTTCAAAGATCGGATTTAGCGAATTTATTCGCATCCTGCATAGATTTATTTGACAATCCGTGGCCTTGGTTTGAGAAGGTTCTAACTAACAAACTTGAGAAAATTGAGTTTACTGATTGAGAAGAGTCCCATGCTTATTCAACTCTACTTAAGCATGGCGTTCGATAGTCGATATCATCGAAATAGCCATATTTTCCTATACTACGCACTATATTCTAAATCTTCTAATACCAGTGGAAAAGTGGCACTGGGATCTTCCGGAGTCTTGCTTTGCCTTCCGCGTGTGGAAGGAAAAGCCTGGCTCGGAGATTCTTGGGCAAATGTATATATTGTATATAGTTATGATTGTGTTTAGAAGTTTTTATTTTATTTTATTTGTTTATTTTTATTTTTTATTTTTATTTACCTTCTTCATCAGTATTATTTATTTACTCCTTATATTTATATTTATTTCTTTATTATTTGTATATATTATATGAATGAGAACGTTTAGCCCTAATGCTTATAGCCATCCAGCAGTGGCTGATTGTATTATTATTCAATAAATAGATTTTTTTTTAAATATATATATATATATATATTCTAAATAAACCTGGCAAAATGAGTATATTTTTTTCTAACGATTAAATTAGATTTTTAAATTAAAATATTGAAGGGACGATATAAATATTCGATATTATCGTTGTTAAAATATCGAATACTGAAAGAAAAATATCATTATGTCGATCATATCGACCATCGATGGCCATCCCTAGTTGAAGCAGCTTTCAGCTTTCTCTTGGTCTGAATAGTAGATATTTTTTATATAAATTAATTTTAAGTGAGGCTTTATGAGTGTAGCAATGTATATCCTAATCCATAGCTAGCTCTGCATGTAATGTGAATATTAATTAATTAATGTAACTGATGGCTCGATGTCCCTTCCAGCCGTTCGTGGTGCCGCTGCGGATCCTGATCCTCCTGGGCGGCGGCCTCATAGCCGTCCTCGGGAGCGACCTGGTCGGCCTGGGGGGGGCTGGCCCCCTCGGCTGCATCGCCGCCGCCTTCCTCTCGGTCTACGCCTGGACCAAGCAGGGCTGGGACGTCGAGGATGTGAGTGCTCAGCTTGTATTTATCATTAGTAATAATATAATATATAATAGTCACAGTATAGTATTTGTATATTTATTACTAAAAATATATAAAATGGATATACAATTATTCATATTTGCTCCTCAAGACGAAGAAATACTAGTGACCTTGTCTTTTAGGTGCGATCTTAAATAGTGTATCTTTATACTTGAGGAAGAAGGTAAAAGTTTATGAATTTAAGGTTTTACACCTTAAACAAGCAACAATATCTCAAAAAACCAAAAGTGCAAAAACTATTGTTGAAGCAAATTTGAACTATATCAGTTATGGAAGTACACAAAAATAAATTATATTTATTTTCTTTGTACCTATATTTCAGGCCTCCTTTAGGGCTACTCGTTCAAAGTGATTCGGGCGAAGTAGTTCTTCGTCCGAATCCCTTTGAATGTGTACCCCTAATGATGGTCTCAAACATAGGCGACATGTATGGCTATTTGTAATTTATTGTACATTAGAAATCGTTTCATACTGTTGGGGCCAGGGGTACTTCAAAATCGAAGTACAAATCTTTCCCCGGTGCGTTTCCTCAAAGGTGGGGAAACTTAGAGTGAAAATAAAAACGTTGGGAAAGAGGGAAAAAAAAGAGTGATTAAAATGAGACCTGTAAAACATAAAAAAATGTGCATGCACAAGAAAATATTAAAAAATAAAAATATTTCAATACATAAAAAATGGAAAATAAAAAATCCCCTTTTGAACGTTTACAATTTATTGAATAAAAAAAGATCTAATTAAGTACAAAATTTAAAATAAATATTCGTGTAAAGTTGCGAGAAAATAAAACATAAATATAATATGTAGAGAAAATAAAAACAAATTAATATTAGGGAAAACATATATAAATAAACCCAACTTCTAAAATTATAAACAAAATCAAGAGAAAGAAAAATAACTGTCCAAAATAACAAAACTAATTTATTGAGAGAACCGAAAAATAACTTGATGTTCAATGTCTTGGTGAGAATAAAAAACAAAAAATACGAGCCAGGTTGGAGGTTCCACCTGGTTACCTTTCGATGTCTAGCTGTCGAGTAATCGATGGTGGCGTGGTATCGATATATATCGATCTCGATCGATTACAGAAGGTGGTGGTAGCCGTCCACTACGTGGATCCGGTGTCATCAAAGGCCAGCTCCAGACTGAGGACCCAGCAGTATTATCGCAGTATTTTGATGTCTTAATCCCTAAGACAGGGTATTACTGGCGGGCTGGAGCGTATACACAAACGCGATAACACATCGCAAACGAAGCCACATATACAAATAATATAAACTTAAATACATTTTAAGAAAAATTGTCCCTCAGCTTTTACATAAAATAAATAAATAACCATTTTATTATTGATATATAAAAAGGGGTGAATGATGAGAAAAAATAATAATTAAAAAATAAAGATGTGAGTGTATGCGGCGTTAACACATACAATAAGTAATATGTCTTCCTTATTTACATCTTATCTTATCAGAAAACAGTAATTAAAAAAATAATAAAATCTTATAAAATATTTTTCTCGACTCCGAGGGCGCATTGGCAAGAACCCTTGGACACGGGTATAGTATTTTTCCACCTAGTAACACCAAAAAAAGTTTCAATGAAATCGGTGACCCCGCCCTCTGTAACCGCAACCTCGCTTCCCGGATTTAGAATAGAATAGAAAATAATTTTATTTTGGGACAAATACAAAAAATAAACAGAAAGATAAATAACCAAAGAAAACATTAGTTAGACATACTATATACAAAACAAAAAAAAATCTATGTACAAAATACTTGGAACTATGCCAAGACACTAACTTAAAACTATTTAGAGTGGTAAAACATAAACATATACTTTAAGAAAAAAAATACATTAAATTCTTCTTAAAAATAAAGTATGTTTTTCTGTAGAAAAAAAAAGAAAGCCGTATCTGATATTAAAAAATTATCTGAGTATTTAAATGATGAATGATATGTAATTACATCATAACAAGTTAGCGGGTATCTGACTGTTACAGGAATTGGAATAGGAGAGTTTTAAATGTCGATAGGGAGGATCAATACCGAATTTTCATAGGAAGGTTTATTTTTATTAATTATTTATTATGAAGATTTGTGATTATTTATAAAAATAATCCAAAATGTATTAAATATAATGTGTTATAACTATATTTTTCTTCTCTATTTCAGTTTTAGAGTACTAAACTTCATTAGATTCATCTTTGGAGTATCTAGAAGCTCTGACGTTTCCAGTTGGGATATTATTGAATATTTTCTAGATGTTTTTCTTTGCCGAACCTTCACAACCAAAAAGCCTCTTCACTTTCTTGTTTTATTCTCTCCTCGTTCCTCTTCGACAGAGGACATTTTTTATCACTAAATTCTATCATCGAACAGGTTCCCTTAAATAATAGTTATCATGCTCACTATCTGGTTTTGAAATTCCTTGTTTTAATTCCTTATGGAAAACTTCATCTTTAACTTTATTTAAACACTAATTATTTTTCCACTATCATCTCAGATTTATTTTGATTAAAATTGAACATATATAAACATAATTACATTTATTCTATTTAATTTCTTATGCTTTACTTTTATTTTAATTTTAACATTATAAATAATTGTAATTTAATTATTTCTTGCCTATCATTTAGTACCACACAGCTATTATTTATATTGTTCTTAAGAGACTAACTGTCCCAGAGTAAAATATAATTTTTTGGAGAGGGGTAATTAATTGCCTTTGAAATTATAAGGCTGTAAAAAAAAAAAAATGGAGTTATTATTATTTCACTCACACGACTTTCCTACCTATTTCAGAAAAAAAAATTATCTTTAAATATGTTTATTAAGAAACAAAAAAAAATTGAAATAGATTTATTTTCTTGAAAATTATTCAAAAAAAAAAAAATTTGAGTATGATTTATTTGATAAATTAAAGCAATATATACCGGCTTGTAGTAGATCAGGGTAAAAATTTCCATAATTTCTAATATTGCTAATCAAAAACCTTTTGCCATAGCCTAATTTTGTCAAACAATAATTTCTGTTAAAAGTAGAGGGAATCAATATTCTTAGATAGAGTAAAGCCTGTGTGATGTGGGCAATATATTTTCTTATTTTCACTTAGTTCTCATTTTTCTCTCTCATTTACCGCTTTCTGACACCAGGATATGAACCTATAATCATACATACGAAATTCAATAGCTGTAACTTCGTTAATAGTTGTCCAAAATGAACGATTTGTATAAAATTTTGTAGCAAATATCATTCATTACCTTTTAAAAAAAAAAAGTCTAAACAGTGTTTTCGGTTTCAGGGGGCTATGAAACGTACAGATCCGTCGAAAACCGCACATGGGAAATTTGACCCGATCGCAACACTTTCCTTACATAGTATAGATAGGAAAGTAATAAATTAAAACATGTGTAGAAAACAGAATACGTTGGATCATCGCTAATAATAGTTCGATGCCGATGATTTTTTTTTTGAAGTTATATACTTAGCGAGTATTAGAGTTAGGTCCCAAAACATTATTCTTCTCTTTACAACTTTGTTTCCTGAATTTTTCCGCATATGTACAAAAGGACAATAGTTTGAAAATTGTAGGCAAATTTCGTCGAAATCGTTAAAGCCGTTTTTGAGCTACAATATGTTTTTTACTTATTGTGCATTCGCTATTGCGCAGGGAGCACCCAATTTATGTCACAGGCATCAGTAGTCAAAACCCTAGAAAAAAAAATAAGCAACAAAATCGGTTGACTAGTTCCATAAAAAATCTTGATATAGGCAGGCAGATAGACTGATGGCTAAAAATGTGTTTTTTCTGACTCAGGAGGCTCTGAAACGGATAGAAGAAGTAGAAAAGTAAAGAGTCAGGCATTTCAGTCAAAATTTCTATAACGAGTTAACCGATGGTTCGATACAAACATGGTGGTCATCATGAGTTCTATAGTTTTGAAGTCGAAGCAAGAACTGTGGTTGTTTCGACTTCATCCTTAAAAATGTAAAATATGGTTTCATAAATGCTATAGGAGGTTGAAACAACTCCTATATCCTCCTCCTATATACATGACAAGAAATGGCTCTTTCGCCAACAGATCAGGTTTAAAGTAGGAAATCTAAAAGTCAGAGACAGTAGCAGCCTAAACTGAGGACATGAACTATTTATCGAGGCCCCGCAGTACCATCGCTCTCCCCTCATGCAATATTAAATTACAGAAGCTTCCTTCCTCTGGTTGCAGAACCCGGTCGCCACGGCCTTTGAAATATTCTGGATGATCTTCGAGCCGATCCTCTTCACGCTCACTGGCACTCAGATCAAGATGGCAGAGATGGATCCCAACATCGCAGGTATCGGAGCTGGCATTCTCGTCTTAGCCTTCGTGGTAAGTCAAAACAGATTTGTTTTCATATTTTTGTTTCTGTTATGTCTAATAATGTATATATATATATATATATATATATATATATATATATATATATATATATAAATTTAAACTTCACTATTTAGTTGGGAATAAGGTCACTTAATTATTATTTAATAAACTAATGAATGTTCATTTCTTCTGTTTATTGACGTTTCGATCCCGGTATTTTCTTCTTATTAGTCAACCATGGGATCCTCTTCAAAGCTAGAATTTTAAAAAAATAGAGCTTCGATCAGGCCAGGGACACACCGACAGTCTCAGCACCGTCCACTAGCACATATATTAAGCTAGCTGAGCTACTGAGTGGCTTAATATATGTGTTAGTGGACGGTGCTGAGACTGTCGGTGGGTCCCTGGCCTGATCGAAGCTCTTTTTTTTTAAATTCTAGCTTTGAAGAGGATCCCATGGTTGACTAATAAGAAGAAAATACCGGGATCGAAACGTCAATAAACAGAAGAAATGAACATTCATTAGTTTATTAAATAATAATTAAGTGACCTTATTCCCAATTAAATAGTGAAGTTTAAATTTAATACTCAAAGGTCGATTAAGGAAAAGTTGTAAATATATATATATATATATATATATATATATATATATATATATATATATATAATATATATATATATATATATATATATATATATATATATGGATGTATCTAAACGAAGGTAAATTAATTAAACTTTATAAGGAATCGATTAGGCGACTTTTTACGAGAATACTGTGAATCAGGTGTTGAGCACACAAAGTCGTAGAGGGTAATGGTGAGTGTCGAAAACTGTGAATATTTAACACCTCAACGCTTCTTCTAAATTAGGGATCTCTAATCCGCCCTGCTAAAGTTTCTGTCACAACATAGTAAAATTTATTAGTTATTTTTATTTTTTATTAAAAAGTTTATGAATATGCTGAATAATTTTTTATAAAACAAGAATATAAAAATCATAATATTTTTGTAACTATAACAAATGTATCAGGAGAATATTCGAAAATTAGTAAAACGTTTTATAATTTTTAAAATATTTAGAGTTTTTATGATGTTATTGTAATATTACAGTATTGTGCTTCATTACATATTTTAGTAATTTCTTTCTTTTTATATCTTCTTTCACACCTGCCACAGAGGCGAGTGGCAATCAGGTGATGTGAATTTAGTTCTGGTATTTCAGATTTGAGGAAGGCCATTACCCAGCAGCATTTATTTCCGGTCTTTGTTTACTTCCTTAATTCAGGAAAGGAATTTTTCATACAGCTCTTTTCAAGAGACTCTCAGCCATGGCTATGTCGTTTATAAATCTTGAAAGAGTTAAAGAGGTTCAGAAATCGGGATTAATGAGTGCGAATGTAGTTGGTGTATAAAGTTTGTATAACTAGTGTTATTAATCTTAAAATTTTGAACTGAAAAGATTGTATTTTCTGTAATTGCGTCTTTTTTACAGAATATTATTGTACTGACAAATAAGTCCTTTCGGTTTTTCAGGGTGAAATAAAACTCAATGTATCATAGACATAAAATTTATTTTAATCTACAATATATTTACCATTATATATAATGACTTTTTCCCATCTTTCCACTAACTGCATAAAGCCATGTTCATAGGATGTCTGAAGTTTATTATTAAAAAACTGATTTTTGATGTCCTCTTCCTTTTGGAATCTCTTTCCTCATTCATGAAGACCGGAATAAGTGGTGGTCACTTGGAGTTAGGTCTGGTGAATAGGAAGGATGAGGCTAAAGGTCCCATCCAAGGCTCAATAATTTAATGCGAGTAACCAATGAGGTGAAAACGACCGTGGAAATCAAATGTCAAGAATACGGAACTCTAACTACTCTATAACACGATGTTGAAGAACAATGGAGGCATTTCATTGGTTGTAAATCAATCGTAACGTGCCTGTATTTAGGTAAATTAGTGTACACTTAACAAAATTTTCTTCAGCTTTTATCTGATAGCGTTGTCTAGGTGGAACACAAGACCCTTCCGATCATTTATAACTCATCAGGATGTTCTCCAAATTAGATGTTACTATATTTATTAGACAACTAAATTATTGCTCTTCAAAGCCGTATGAATGTTATTTTTTATTTAATGCCTACATAAGGAATAAATAAACAAAAACTCCTTATAGGTTTTTAATTTTTCTTTCCATTTTTAATTTGTTTACAAAGCTCCTATTAATGTCATTTTGTTAAGTTTATGTGGCTCTAAATTTCTTGTAGATAGCTAAAGTCGTATTGAAATTTATAACATTTTTTGAGATTTTTGAAGAAAAAAACATAAAGCCTGGAAACATAGCGGAACTAGTGCAAATGGTTTTCTACGCTTGTGCGCAACACATTTAGGGCCATAGCAATCTCTCGCACTGATTGGGTGGGATTTCGATCAACAATGGCCTTAACATGGCTAGTTTCAATTTCATGTGTCAAACCAGACTGTTGAGCAAATTTTTCCATAAACTTCTGCAGCACGCTTGCCTTTTTATTTTGTTGTATAATTTTTAAAATAATACAACAAAATATGCCGAACAAATGATATTTTCTTCCATATTGACAATGCAGTAGCAAACACAACACTAAGCTAGTTTCAACAAGAGTTAACAAATATAGTTGTTGACATATTTCAAACAGAATAAACAATCCACCTTAGGGCTTAATTCATCAGATAAGAAGCTTATCACAGTGGCATAAAAATAAACAGAAAAACCGAAAGGACTTATTTGCCAACCCAATTAATCTGTGAGGCGTAAAAGCATATAGATTTAAATTGGTAGTGTATGTATTTAGTTTTTGTCTCATTTTCAAGTTTAACGATTTGAATATGGTATTTTCATTCTTTTAAATATTTAAAGTAAATTTACCGTAATAAAGAAAACACGATAATAATTTGAAATGAACAATTAGAGAAGACCAAGATATTTCGAAAAAGTAACTATCTTAGTTGCATAATTTTTAAATATTTATTATTTCGGAAAGATAACGTCAAATATTTTTACAGTGTTGTAAATCAAATGGAGAGAACATTTCTATTTCTAAGCTCTTATTCATTAAGTATCAACATGACCTCAGACCTCCAAGTTCATGATTTATGGCATGACAAATACAAGAAAATTAGTAACAGTTGGCTGGAAAATTCTAAGAAAGTTCTCGGATTCCGATTTGGTAGCCATCGCCACTTTGTGTCGTACTTATTCACGGGTTATATCCAAAGGGAACTGTAAACAGGCCTGGCCAAATGGTCCACTTTAGGCTGCCTTTCTAAATATTGTTTTTCAGGTTGATTTATCGCCTACACAGAGCTAGCTACTTCTCATGAATTTCTTCGGTTTCCTTTGGAAGTTCTCCATTTACCTTCTGTCAGTCCATCTGCTTCTCCTGAAAAGATTTCTTCACTGGAAGGTTAAATTAGTATCTAAATACTTAAAGCGTATATCAACTGTTGGTACCTGTGCGAGTAACGCTCTAATTAATAATATCCAATAATTGGGCCACGGCTCAAGAGTGTTTTCTATTTGAACGATTTCATTCAAAATTCAAACTCATGTTCAAAATGAGTGACTTTAATCAATACATAACCCTTTTGTTTGAAGAACGAAGTCAGTTCGAAATGCACAAAATTTTATTGTTACAATTATATCGTTCTTGTTGTTGGGGCCAGAGGTATTTCAAAATTAAAATACAAACTTTTCCCCTTTGAGTTTCCTCAAAGGTGGGGAAAATACGAGTAAAATTAAACGATGGGAAAGAAGGGAGACAATTAGTAAAAAATGAGACCTGTAAAACATGAAAAATGCATGCACAACAAAATATTAAATAAAAGTATTCAAAGATAGAAAATAAATAAATGATCTCCCTTTTTAATATTTACACTATTTATTAAAGAACAAAAGGCATATATATATATATATATATATATGTATAAACTTAAAATCCAAAACATAAAATACAATATTCATTGAAAATAAAAAACGCTGCAAATTATTGCAAAATGGTTTATTATTTCAACAATTATATATCTAAAGTAACATTAACTTCCTAGTTACGAAGAAAAATAAATAAAAGGTGATCCCAATTATTGGACTAAACTTTTTTTTAATCATTAGTAATATGCTAAAAAAATTAGCATTACTTCAGTAACACATTCAAAAACCAAAACAAAGATATAACCTTTGCAGCAGAACATATAAGTCCATATCTTTACTGCCCGATTTGAACGGGGTTTTTTGTTTTTTAGGAAATTTCGTAAACTTTAAAAAAATAATATCGACAAAAAAGTGTATACTTTTTGAGTTATTCGGAATTTAATTTTCTATCCCTCGTAACTTTTTTACCAGTTTCTTTTCCTTGAAGTATGTTATATAGATAAATTTAAAGGGCGACAAGAAAATTACTTTAGCGAAGTTTTATTGAAATCGGTACATTCGTTTAGGCGCTACAGTCCATCGCAACGCAGGTTTTTCGGCCGCCATTTTGAAAGTAAAAGGCGGGTAGTAATGTCGATGAAGGAGGATCATCCTTGGATGACTTCTAATTTTAAATCCAAATTTGAAAAAAATCGGTCCATTAGTTTCGGAGAAAATGCGCGGACGGTGGAAGGACAAAAAAATGTTTATTCTTTTTTCAAATTCAGCGTATTCTGAAACGTAAAACCTCAAATTTTGAAAATAGGTTGAATTTTTTTTCGATCACAAACGGTAATAAAGCATAATATTTAAAACATCTACAATAAAATACAATTTGGAGACAATTATTCGCAAACTATTATAAACAAAATAAATTAACATTTATTCAATTAACATTTAAAAAGAGTACGAAGTTGAGAAAAAAATAATAATAAAAAAGTAAAGATACAACTATGGGGCGTTAACAATTGTTTATTTATTTAAAATATATTATAAAATATATTTTTTTGGTCCAATCCAAAAGTTGTGTAACTGAAGTTTTTCTCGGATAGTG